AGCAGCATCAAGTGGTAACCCTTCAGGAATGCGAACCACAAAGTGTTCATCCGCAACCATTGAGTCAGAGTAGCCTCCATGTGTGATGCTGCCATCTCTATATTTAGCACCGTATGTGAGCGTATATTGTGGACAATAATTCTCAAGATTTTCAGCACAGTTTTGGCAGTTGCGGCATGAATCAACCATACATCCCACACCTACCTTGTCTCCAACTTTGAACTTTTCTACTTTGCTTCCCACCTCTGTCACAACGCCAACTATCTCATGCCTGCACCAATATTTCTTACACTAATTAGAATCAAACTGAATTTGCTCCTCGATAAATAAACAAGATCAGTAGCCTTGTGAACCATCTATATGACTGGTTCGTTTAGCTCCACATGGAGAATATTGTATATATCCAAATATATTCTAAGCATTATATTAAAGTCTAATGAAGATACATACCCTGGGACTAGGGGATAGGTAGAAAAGCCCCATTCGTTCTTAACCATGTGGAGATCAGAGTGACATATCCCACAATACAACACCTTGAATGCCACATCTTTTTCACCAGTTTCCCTGGAAAAAAAAAATATTACGAAGCAGAACTGAATTAAGTAACCGGGAAGCAACTTTGCTTTCAACATTTTCTTTTTTAATCATTATTATCGTGGTATTTGTAGTATATTAATTGTTGTTAGTTATAAAGGTATGCACAAATATTACATATGGATTTGGTGTGAATGAAAAAAAGGAAAAAATGAAAGATGTATTGAGTGAAGAAATGAAGGTACCTTCGGGAGAAATTGAAAGGGGAGAGAAGGCCAGAAGGATCCCTAGCTGCCCATCCGAATGCTTTGTTGGGATGCTCAATTTCATGTTGTTGTGTTGCCATTTCAATCGCTGAATGAAGGAGTGAGGAAGCAGTTGCCTGAGAGAAGTATTTATAAGTGTGATGGAATGGAGAGTGACATGTGATTCACGTTTCAGATGACGATTGCCTTTGCATGTGATGTGCGGGACCCATGACTTCGAATCAAAAATCACTTAATCGTTGAAAAGTC